GCCTTTGACAAGATGCCACAAAGGAGGATGCTTGATATGAGTCCATCATGTTAGGGACAAGGTACTGGCATGGACAGCGGACTGGATGACTGGCAGAAGACAGTATGGATAAAGGGGTCTTTTTTAGGATGGCAGCTGGTGATGAGTGGAGCTCCGCGGGGGTCAGTGTTGGGTCCTCAACTATTCACATTATACATTAACAATCTGGACGAAGGAACAGAAAACATTGTTGCTAAGTCTGCAGATGACACAAAGATAGGTGGAGGGACAGGTAGTGTTAAAGAAGCAGGAAGGCAGAAGAAGGACTTAGACATGCTAGTCAAGAGGGCAAATGAGTAGCAGATAGAATACAATGTGGCAAAGTGTGAGGTTATATATTTTGGTAGGAAGAATAGAAGTGTAGAACATGGCCTAAACAGGGAAAGGCTTTGGAAATCTGAAGTACGAAGGGACTTGGGAGTCCTAGTCCAGGATTCTATTAAGGTTAACATACAAACTCAGTTGGCGGTTAGAAAGGCAAATGAAATGTTGGCATTCATTTCAAGATGGCTAGAAAACAAAAGCAGAGATATACTGCTTAGGCTGTAAAAGGTTCTGATCAGACCGCATTTGGAATACTGTAAACAGTTTTGGGCCCCATATTTAAGGAAAGTTGTGCTGGAATTGGATGGGGTTCAGAGGAGGTTTACAAAATTGATCCCAGGTTTGAAGGGCTTGTCATACAGGGAGCAGTTGAGGACTCTGGGTTTGTACTCAATGGAATTTAGAAGAATGAAGGGGGTGTCTGATTGAAACTTACAGGATACTGAGAGGCCTGAATACAGCGGACAAGGAGAAGATGTTTCCACTAGCAGGAGAGACTATGACTCAGCGGCATTGCCTCAGAGTGAAAGGACAATCCTTTAGAACTGAGATGAGGAGGAATTTCATCAGTCGGACGGTGGTGGCTCTGTGAAACTCATTGCCACAGAGAACTGTGGAGGCCAAGTCACTGAGTGTATTTAAGACAGAGATAAACAGTTTCTTGGTTTAGTAAGGGGTATCAAGAGTTATAGGGAGAAAGCAGGAGAATGGGAATTGAGAAACATATCAGCCATGATCGAATGACAGAGCAGACTCGATGGGCAGAATGGCCATAATTCTGCTCCTTTATGTTATAGTCTTACTTGGAGCAGTTTGGACATGCAGTACAACAGAAATTTTAAAATACACCATTAAATGCACTAATAAAAATTCAAATAAATTTAATCTGTGCAAAATTTCTTTCCTAATTTCTTCATACATGATAATGATTTCCACTCATACCTTCCTTTCCCATCATCAAAACGGTATACTTCAGCAAGTAATAATGTGGATTAACTATGAAATTTGATTATTTTTATTCTGTATCTATATCACAATAATCAAATATTCTAGTTTATATTTTTAAGTCTAATATTTGTCACCAAAAATACAGCAAATGTGTAGAAGTAAATTTATTATATGATTAGAACTTCTGATGGAAAATTGAATTACTAATGTCTACACTGTCCTTATTTCATACTGTACCAAATTTTCTCATTTTCCATTCTAAAATTGAAATAAAACGCAGATAACCAAATAACTTTCACTGTGATTATGTTGAAATAAAAATTCAGCACTCAAGATTATACATGAGTGGAGTTAAAAGCAGCAATTGCATTCATGTATTTTTTAAATCAAACTAATATTGAGAATGCATTACACGTCAAATAAAGCAAACCTTGAATGTTACAGGCCAATTTTATGGAATTTGAATTTTCTTCAAACTTGTTCTCACATATATGAAGAGGAACTTTTGATGTACATAACTAATTAACAGACTTCCAAAATATCAATAACTTACTTTCTCTGCAGTCTTGAAATACTGTTTGACTAGATCCTCCACTCTTAAGGTTAAAACTTCTGTAGATTTATTGGCAATTTTTTCAAAATTAATCTGCACATCATCTGTGAAAATCAAACAAGTAAACAAACTGCCAATCACAAAGTTACAGTACAATCTTTCCATCAAAATAATTGGCTGGCACTGACCATTGTAAATGGTGCAAAAATTCAGGCAGAGAGCAGAAGTATAATGAAATATGAACACCCAAATATTACTGCTCAAGTAGCACTGCTCCACCATTAGCTTTGCCAAGATAACATGTTGCCCTTTGCCTCCACATTCTGTTGGAATACTAGTTGTATTTTCCTCATTATTTGCAAATTTAACTTGCTTCAGAAATCTAATCCTTGGCATTAGAAGGTCAAGTACCCTGTTTAACAACATGTTTATTACCTCTCCTCTCCTCCAGCAACCAAAGATCCCACCTATTTCAAGAAGACCACCATCATCCCAGTACGTAAGAAAGCACATGCAACAACGCGTAATGACCACCGCCCAGTGACTCTGACCTCCGTAATCACGAAGTGCTTCGACAGTCTGGTCATGGCCCACATTAACTCAAGTTTCCCGGCCTACCTCGATTCTCTACAATTTACCTACCGAGGTAACACGTCCACAGCAGACGTCATTTCCATAGCGTTGCATTGATTGCTGAAACATCTGGACAACAAGGATACCTACATCAGACTCCTGCTCATCAACTACTGCTCCACCTTCAACGTCATTACCTCTTACAGGCTGATCTCAAGACTCCGAGACATAGGCACTGGGGCCTCTGCAATTGGATACTCAGCTTCCTGACTCACAGACTGCAATCAGGGAAGACAGACGACTGCAATCAGGGAAGACAGACG